GCGTTTGGAATTGGTGGTTGTGATGGGGTCGCTGTACTGATTACATGGTTGCTTGTATGTGCTTTTGCTACTTGCAGCTCCTCCTTGTGGACAAGAAGATCACCACCGCCCGCGACATGATTGGCATTCTGGAAGATGCGATCAGGAACGGCTACCCTCTTGTCATTATTGCTGAGGATATTGAGCAAGAAGCGTTGGCGACGCTTGTTGTTAACAAGCTGCGAGGTTCTTTGAAGGTGGCTGCTCTTAAAGCTCCTGGGTTTGGAGAGCGCAAGAGCCAGTACCTTGATGACATTGCGATCCTAACTGGAGGTAGCATCAGTCACTTCCTGTCTTTGCTTTCGAGATTGTGTGTGTGTGTGTGTGTGTGTGTTGGGGGGAGGGGGGGGGTCGAAATGGGGGAGTTCATTCATTTATTTCAAAATGCTGAACCTGTCTTTGTTTCAGAAACTGAAGTATCAGTGTGTGTTAGTCTGGTGCCCTCAAGTATCTAGTGCATGTGGAGGAGGTTCACTGAATGGTTTAGGGTTTACTATGTAAAATCTGTTTCGTGCAGTTTTGGTTAAGCCCTTGGTAGTGTACGCGATGATGACGACTGTGCAAAACGCGTGTTAATCGTGGTGGCAGGCACTGTGGTGCGTGAGGAGATTGGTCTTTCATTGGACAAAGTGGGCCGGGAGGTCCTTGGAACCGCGGCGAAGATTGAGCTCACCAAGGACCACACCACCATTGTTGGTGATGGATCCACACAAGATGCAGTGTCTGCCAGGGTCAAGCAGATTAAGGCCCTGATCGAGGTGAGTTTGGGCTCAGTAGCTCAGCCTTCAAAGAGGAGGAAAGTGGAAAATTGAATGAATGCCTGAGATGATGAGCACAACCGAGGCGAGTTCGGGTTGGAGGCCCCTGGTAAAGAATGTAAAAAATAAATCGAATCAGTGCTAGAGATCATGCAGATCCAGAGCCTAAAGAAAGAAAGCAAGGAAAAAAGAAACCAGACCAAGAGCCTTCTTGTGATGAGTTCTGTCTGGGGAGCAGAATGGAACATGAGTGAAGGGAGCGTGATGTGCAGCGAATGCCAGGATCAAACGAATTATCAAGTCCCTGGGTGTGGTGCAGTGAACGCCAGGGTTTAAACAAACAAACCCTCTAGAAGCTTTCCCAGCCACTTCTCTATGACACGCCGTGCATGCAGGAATGTTGGGAGGGATGTACTGAGGTGGCGTTTGCCTTGAGATCCATCCAGGGGAATTGGGCCCAATGGGCGACGTGTTTTGCCAGGATGGATGTCCGGGCGAATGCGACCCCCGTACGCCCTACTCAATGCGCCTGTGTGATCTTAGAAAAAAATGGCTGGGAAATCGTACTGGTGGTTTTAAGGTGATTGAGGCGAGTTTGGGGTAGGCCCCTTAGGTTAGGAGTGTGAAGAATTGAGTGCTGGCGCCAATGAGATCAAGATCGCGGTTGAAGTGAGTATGGGTTGGGGTACTGGGAAGAGAAGGAAGGTGAAAATTTGAATATATGTTAGGCTGAGTTTAGGTTGTTGGCCGTTGGAAGTGAGTCAATCTTGTAATGATGCGGTAATGGACGGTGATGCTGCCGGCTGTTTTGATGGATGAGAAACAGGGAGCCGAGCTGCATGCAATGCTGTGGATTGATCAGGAAGAGAGTGGAGTGGCATTTGAGTCTTAAGCTGCAGTTCAACATCTGTACCTGGAAGAAATGGAGTTGGTTTAATAGTTTGATTAGTAGGTTAGTGGTGAAAAATATAAAAAAATGTCCTCTTGTGAAACGTGAGGAAACACGTTTGGTCAAAGGTCATAAGCAACTGGACTGACAGCCCCCACAATAGAAGGTGCCTTTTTCTTATTGAAAAAAAAGGGTGTGGAAACAACATTGTTCTTGGGGGTGTGGAAACAACATTGTTCTTGGGGATGGTAAATATCTATGCTTTGCATCTGACCCGTGGCCCGAGTTATTAGTGGTCCTATTTTTGTGGTAGTAGGATACGTTGTTTGTCTGACTGATGATTGCTTGTTGCTGTAATAATAGCAACAGAACTGCTAACGGAGGATATGCGTGAAAAAGAAATTGGATCTACGATTGCGCAGTGGAGTGGGTGTTCTTGTTGTTCCTTTTCCTCAAGCATGGATCTATGATCGTGCAGTGGAGGCGGTGTTCTTGTTGTTCCTTTACTGCAAGCAATGACAGACTGGTGTCAGGTATGTTTAGGGCCAGGCTCTTGCTTTCTCAGGCTAAATGTCAGCACCAGGGGGGGCTGCGCCTGTTAGTTGGGGTCAGCTAGTGTTGAGTTTGGTGGACCTGTTTTCTTACTCCGGATTCTGTTTTCCTCGATGAACAGGAAACTGAGCAGGACTATGAGAAGGAGAAGTTGAACGAGCGCATTGCTAAGCTCTCTGGCGGAGTGGCGATTGTCCAGGTAAGGATGCTGGAGGGAATGCAGTGTGACGGTGGTGTATATGACATGGGGGTGTGTGGCAATGTCTCTTCAACACCGAAATTGTTGTCGTGATTTGGAGGTGCCGGTTGTCTCATATCACCCCAACAAATCATTGAGCACAGTTTTTGGGGTGATCTGAGCCATGGAACGGCGTAGTTGAGGAGAAACAATCGCAATACTAGTGATGGTGCATTGTCAAACAACCAATATAGAGGTGGGTGTATTGAGATGTCGGGGAAGGGGGGAGCAGAGGGAGTGTATTGTGTAGTCAGGGAAAGGTGTTTGATTGTACATGTCTTTGTTGTTGGAAGTGGGATGATATATTCATGTAAGTGCCTCCTCGCACTGATCCTCGCGCTGATGTGCATGCACCAAAGTGCTGGATATCATCATTTCATGTGCGGTTTCATTCGTGGAAAGTGGGTCCTCTCACTGGCTTGCAAATGCACATGTGGTACTTCCTGTTATACATTGAGATTGGGTATTGTTGCTGGATGTCACACCTCACCCTGTGTCTCACCTCACCCTGGGTTTGTCCCTCTTCACATGAATAATGTCTCACACAGAACTGAAGTATAAGATGAAGCAGTATGTCATACCTCACCCTGTGTCGTTTTGTTCTTCTCCTCAACTCCCAGGGTTTAGTTTTGTTCTTCTCCTCCAATCCTAAGGTTCATTGGGCACTTTCAACTTTGTCATTCTATGTATAAGTGCCATTTATGCGGATGTCTCGAATATGGCTCTGATTGACAAATACATGCAGTGCACTGCGGGGTTGTCATTGGAGAGAATAACATTTCTGTAGCATCTATGGTGCTCTTTGATGCTCCTTCTGATTGGAAGCAGAGTACTTGTCTTTTCTTTTTGACCATTTCTTGATTAATGCATGTCATCTGTGCAGGGTCATGTTAATCTTCTCTGCATCCGTCCAATCTTTATGGATGTTTTTGTTTTGCAAGCAGAAGCAGAGTTTTTGGAAGGTGATCATGTGCATAAGTGTCTTTCGTGTGTAATTATGTCAGCGTACTGGCTACTCATGTCAGGCAACGTGTGGCTTTGTATCCAGGTTGGTGCCCAGACAGAGACAGAGTTGAAGGAGAAGAAGCTTCGTGTTGAAGATGCTCTTAATGCGACTAAGGTAAGTCTCTCTCTCTCTCCCTCTCTCTCTCTCTCTCTCTCTCTCTCTCTCTCTCTCTCTCTCTCTCTCTCTTTC